CGCAGGCCCTGGACCAGCCGGTGCTGCAGGACCAGAGAAACAGAGCACTCGGGCTTCGTTTCCGCGCGGCCACACTTAGCCTGTACTGACCTGTACCTCCTTCTGCTGAGGGCTCACGCGCTTAGATTAGTGCCCTTCCTGCTATAGACAGGATGCGGAGGAGTTCGTGTTAGGAAATCACACAAGCGCTTTCTAATAAAGGCCCGCGAGTATTTCCTGCTGTAAAGTCTCCCGTGGCTCTCGTGGCCTCGGCTGGCTCCGAGTGAACCCTCGTCTCACTGTCTCTCTTCCAGCTGAACAGTGACCCCACTGCCGAGGAAGCGGTGCCTGAGCCGCCGGACTCGCTCCTTCAGTCTCAGGATTCGAGCAGCAGCAACGTGACGGAAGACATGCTGGCCGCCAGGGACGAGACCCCCAGTGTGGAGGCCCTAGATAATGCTAGCAGCCAGCTGCCTGAGGTGGGGACACGCGGGGGCTGGTGCACGGCCAATCCAGGCTCTGCGTAGCTCTGCCCCTTCCCTCGCTTTTCCTCCTAGAGTTTTTGCCTGATACGTTGATTATTTGATTTGTCTCCAGTATTTCTAACCTGTGGGGTTATTTTAAATGAAACCATGAAATCCGATTTAAAAACTATAGAAAGTGGGCAGATGAAGGAGATGACCTGCAGGTTAAAAATAGCCTGGCGTTTGCAATGGGTGTTTGCAATGAGCGTCTGCAGGGCGCGGAGGGCAGCACTGCGGGGTGCGGGCCTCGCCGGGCGCTGTGCTCCCCGGGACCTGTGCTCCCCGGGACCTGCTTCTGCTCTGCCTCCTTTTCGCTTTGTACTGGGTTACGTGATTGGTGCTGTCCCTGGGATGAAACCTCAGGCCAGCTGTGTGAGCAGCTGGTTACAGGAAACTTTTTTAAAGACTTTGGAACCACTAGTATTACATTTTTTGGAAAGGCCTGTGAGAAAAAGCCAGATTCCAACCTAATGACTGACCAAAACTAAGTAAGTATTAGTTTCTCTAGTATTTTTGAAGACTGTTAGAGATACTTTTGTCCAATGTCAATGCTGCTGTTCTGTCACATGTGGTTTATGCCTTAATAAGTATGAGGAAGATGCTGTATTCTTGTCGGTGTTCGCCACATTAATGTCGTCGATTTTGGGTCATCAGGAAAGTCGTGACAACCCATGTTTTTCTATGAAAAAATGCGTCCTGCCTTTTCTGATGACCCAGTACATCAGTAGATCTAGACTAGCTAAATAAATAGAAGCAAGAGAACACTAAACCAGCAGGAAAAAAAGAAAAAAAAAAAGAGAAAACGAGTGGGTTTGGATCTTATCGTTTTCACAAGACGGGTTCCCATGTCCTCGGACCATTTGTTTACACGTCCGGGCCTCCCGCCAAACGCACCCGCGTTTCCAGACGGCGGCATTTGGGCTCTTCACTAGCGGTCTTTGGGGTGCTGAGACAGACCGCTCAGTCCCGCCATGTGTCGCAAGACCAGGAGCCAGTGCTGGAAGAGTACAGAGCATGACCTCGGCCTCTGGGGATGCCTGTCATTTAGGGAGACAAGCGAGGCTTAAAAGTGGTCGCTCAGTATGGGAACCTCGTGGCAGATGTGACGTCCAGCAGAACATCGGAGGGGAGCACCCCAAGGGGTGCCTGTGTACAAGAACAGGCTTCCTGGCCACTGGGCATTGCAGGCAGAGGGACACTGCATGGGAGGGGCAGTGTGCAGTAGCACAGAGTGCTGGGGTCAGGGCGGGAGACCTTGGCATTTCTAGGGAGGAGGAGAGGGACAGCGGGGGGTGGACAGGGGCCAAGACACGAGGGGTCCTCCTGTCGGCCAGGGACGCTGATGGCATCTGACTCACAGGGGCAGGTCGCGCAGGTGTCCCTCCTCCAAGAGAGCTCTATCCTGTCTCCGGCACCGCATGGTGCCGAGATAGAGCTGCCGGCCTGCCAGCACTCTTCGCCTGGGGGTACTCACCAAGCCCTACCACGCCCTGGGCACTACGTGGGCTCGGGCCTCGGCACCGTGAGACGGGCAAAGGCTCCTGGTTGCATGGGGCCTGCTTCTGGGCAGAGGGACAGATAATAAAGAGATGGAGCAGACAGATAGAAGCACTGGGTCAGAAAGCGACCCTTCCATTAACGGGACTCAGAAGGCCGGACAGGAGTGTGACCGTAGGTGAGGGAGAGTCAGGGACGCCTGACACAAAACCCAGGTGACAGGAAGCCAGCCAGGGCCTTGGAGGAAGTCCGGGTAAGCCAAGGCAGCAGCCGTGGCCAAGGCCCTGGCATATCTGGGAAACTCCAAGCTGCCCAGTGGGGCTGGCGCTCCGGCTGCAGGGGTCGGGGGAGGTGCCCTCCTGAAGGATCTCGTGGCCACGCAGCAGACAGTGTTGGAGGTCTTAAAGCAGAAGGGTGTGGCCTGGCGACCTTTATATTTTGTAAACACTGGCTTTCGTGTGGAGAGTGGTCAGCAGGCTCTACTGCCTTCATCAGGGAGGACCTCCGGGCTGTGTTCTGTGATTGGAAAGTCTCTGTGATGGGAGTGGGGGGCTGGCAGGGGCTGAGATAAAGACTAGAACAGCAGCAAGAGGGAAGGAGACACTTAACTAAGAAAGGACGGACCAGACTTAGGGGTGCTTTAAGGAGATCCTAACGTTCCTGTCAGTCTGGGGAAGCTCGCAAGCTCAGTATTTGACACAAGGTATCAGTCTCATCCGCTGTGTCTGGTGAGGCCCTGCAGACCCGCTCCCTGGCAGCAGGCCGATACTAGAGACCTCACGTAACAAACACAGTATGCCCATGGCTGTTGAAAAAGAGGGGGAATTTTTGTTTCAATTAAATAGTTTGGGAACCACCTTTGAGAAGTAATTCACAGTGCTAGAATGCCATGTGATTTCAAACGGGCCATTTACTCACCGTAGTACGATAGTTCATGGGTTTGCTTTCCAGACACGGCGAAGTCCCTGGGTGTATTTTCTCTCTTAAAGGACGTACACTTCAGGTTGCTATTTTCCCTTTTACACTAGCGGACTTCCTCACCCCTGTACGACCGGTAACCCTGCTGGATGAGAATGGAGGGGATGTTTTGAACCTGTAGCGTTTCGTTTAGAAATAGGTCTACTGAGGCTGGGATTGTCACCAGAAGGCTGGCGAAATGCTACGACCGCGTGTCATTTGGAGACGCTGGCCTAAGCTCCTTCTCCCTGGTGTGCCCCCAGCGTCAGATTACCCAGAACTGGAGAGTGTGGCAATATTAAAATAAAACCGAAACTATGTTTAAAGCAATTTCTTAAGATATGAAATATACTTTAAATAGATTAAATACTTTGTGAATTAAAGGAAAAAATCCATTTGCCAAAGTGTTCCTTTGAATGTCTCCGCGAATTCCGTTACCTTTGGGGTATTCCCTGAAAACCCCAACCACATCCCAGCATTCACTCCTGTGCCCCAGTGAGGCTGCCTCAGCCCTCCGGGCCCCGTGCCCTCAGGTCAGCTAGGACCCACTCTGGTTTGCAGGTGGCCTCAGTGCCAGCTTTGCCACTTAACTCATCTCCCCTGCATCTGTCCAGCACGCACCGTGTTTTGGTGTAACAGACGAAACTGTTCCATAGGAAAACTTATAGTAGTATAAAGTTTTACTTTTGTAGAATTATCGATAGAATGTACATATGAGACAAGATATTTTACCAAAGGACAGACTTCTAAATAAACATCCAGTTCCTATTACTAAAAAACTCCTTTATGTTTATGTGTTGTGGCAATAGATGATATGTTTTCATCTATTTTAAACATAGGACAATTAAAAAAAAAATTGAGGGGCCAGCAGGTGGTGTGATGGTTGAAATATTGGATTCCCACATGTGCGACCGTGGTTTGAGTCCCAGGCCTGGTGACTTAAAAATCACAACAAATACATTAAGTAACTTAAAAAGAAGCAACAAGTTTATATAATCCAGAGTCCAAAAACTGTATAAGCTGAGTAGAGGAAGACTATGTTATAGAACACCAAATCATTCACTATGTTGATGAAATTTTTAAAAAATTTTTAAAATTTTACTTAAAAAGATGATTGTTTTACAGGATACAAGTTCAGTATTAAAGGAGGAACATGTTACAGCCTTTGAAGATGAAGGGCCATATCTAATTCAAGAACAGCAAGATTCTCTTGTGTGTCAAAGAATCCTTGATTTAGAAGAAACTGAAATGCCGGAGCCTCTAGCTCCTGAAAGCTACCCAGAGTCCATCTGTGAGGAGGACGTCACCTTAGCTTTGAAAGAGCTGGACGAGAGGTGTGAAGAAGAAGAAGCAGATTTCTCTGGACTGTCTAGGTGAGGGCCTAGTATCACGAACACTGTAGTGAGGTGACATTTTCCCCCTTCCTGCCCCAGAAATGTCCCTCCATTCCAGTCTCCTTTTTTTTTTTTCTTTCTTTTTAAATTTTGCCAGAGGGCATGAGCGCTTGGCAGAGAGAGAGGGAAAGTGAGAAAGCACCCCCACGGGGAACAGTCACGCCACAGTCCCTGCTCCGTTTCTCCCTCCTTTGGGATTTTGGGCATGCGTGCACATGCACCTGGCGTGGACTCAAATCGTGCCATCAGCCATGAGATCCACCCACCTTCACCACCGTGCCACCGGCTGGCCCGAAGTGACTGAAATTATTCAACAATGTGGCACATTATGGGAATTCAGTTATTTTAATGTAGTCGTTTGAAATTAAAGCTCTAAATCCAAAAACACTAAGTGAAAAGAACACGGTCTTGCACGTGGTGCTTTCTGCCAAAATGTCGGTGGTCGCGCAGCTCCTAAACCAGTGTCTGCGGGTCGGAAACCCCGTTAGGGCGACTTAGCTCTGGGGAGGGCTGAGTCTCCCCCTCAGACAGCGGTATGATAACTGTGACGTTTGTGTTAACAGTCAGGATGAGGAAGAGCAAGATGGTTTCTCAGAAGTGCAGACATCACCTCCACCATCACCATTTCTCTCTGCCATCATAGCCGCCTTCCAGCCAGTGGCGTACGACGACGAGGAGGAGGCCTGGCGCTGCCACGTCAGCCAGATGCTGTCCGACCGCGACGGCTCCTGCGCGGTGTTCACTTTCCACGTGTTCTCTAGGCTCTTCCAGGTCAGTGAGCCTGGCTTTCCGGATTCGTGTTTTAACCACTTGGTGAAAGTATGACTTTTTTTTCTCTCTAAAATCAGTATCTCGGGAACCAGCAGTTAGTGTAATGGCTATGTCGCTGGACTCCCATGTAGTCGACCGCGGTTCACATCCCGGACCCGGTGGCTTAAAACTCACACCGGGCACGTGTGCATGCATGCCCAAGATCCCAAGAGGAGAATGGAGGAGAAGGGATTGCAGCGTGACCATCCCTCCTGGGGGGGTGATTTCTCGCTTTCTATCTCTCTGTCTCTCTCTCTGTCTGGCAAGCGCACGTGCCCTATAGCGAAAATCTTTCAAAAAAAAAAAAAAATCAGTATCTCAGGTTTTCATATGTCAACTGGTTTTCTTTTTTTCTTTAAAGAAGTTTTTGCCTGGGCCAGCAGATAGTGGAGCGTGGTGGTTAAGGACACTGGACTCCTACATGGCCAACCATGGTTCGAGGGTTCGAGTCCTGGGCCTAGCAACTTGCTTTCTCACTTTCTCTCACTCTCTCACTCTGTCCCTCTCTGGTCACACACACACACTCATATGAGTAAGTAAGTAAGGCTTTACCTTAGGGCATGTGCACTCACTGGAGAGAAACAGAGATACAGTGAGACGGAAAGCAAGAAATCACCCCCCAGGGGATGGGTACACTGCAATCCCTTCTTCATTCTCCTCCCGGGATCTTGGGCACATGCACACATACACGCCTGACATAAGTTTCAAGTCACTGGGTCTGAGACTCGAACCATGGTCAGCCATGTGGGAGTCCAACTGGCCTGCCAACTAGTCCTCTTTAGCAGATGTCTTCTTTCCTATGCTAGCAGTACTGCCTCAGTTGGCACTGCGACACTGACAGCACGTTATACAGGACTGCTACATGCACCTCCCCTACAGCTGTCAGGATAAAACTCGGGGACCAGCAGATGGTATAACAGTTATGACCCTGAACTCCCATGTAGTCGACCACAGTTCGGGTTATGACCCTGAACTCCCAGGTAGTCGACCACAGTTCGAGTCCTAGATTTGGCAGCTTAAAAGTCACACCAGGCATGTGTGCATGTGTGCCCAAGATCCCAAGAGGAGAATGGAGGAGAAGGGGTTGCAGCGTGGCCATCCCCCTGGGGGGTGATTTCTCACTTTCTCTCTCTCTGTTTCTCTAGCAAGTACACATACTCAATAGCAAAATTCTCTCTGAAAAAATAAACTTCACGTATACCTGATGAACTTCCTGAGTGTTCTGAGCCCCATCAGGGACACAAGGGAAATAAAGACACAGTCCCTGCCTCCAAGAATCTTACAGCTTTATCGTGAATCAGTTTATAGGGGTCAGCAGGTGGCATGGTGGTTAAGGTGCTGGGCTCCCACATGACTGACCACAGTTCAAGTCCCGGATCTGGTGACTTGAAGCTCACACCAGGCGCTTGTGTATGTGTGCCCAAGATCCCAAAAGAAGAATGGAGACGGAATTGTGGTGTGGACACCCCTCCCAGGGCATGATTTCTCACTTTCCCTCTCTGTCTCTCTGGCAAATCCACGTACCTTATGGTAAAAACCAAAAAAAAAAAAAAAAAATGGTTAATAAAAGTATTAAGTTAATTAGCACTTTGATTATTGTGTGGAGACCTTGAAAAGGGATTTTGGAGTGGTCATCCCCGCAGAGGGTGCTTTCTCACTTTCTCTCTGTCTAAAGGGGCCAGCAGATGGAGCAGTGGCTAAGGTGCCGGACTCTCCCATGGCTGACCACAGTTAGGAGTCCCAGACCCAGTGCCTTGAAAATCACCCCGGGTACATGTGCATTCATTTCCTAAATCCCAAGAGGACAGTGGAGGAGAAGGGATTATGTGTGACCATCACCCCTAGGGGGGGTGACAGCACATGTGCCCTATGGCAAAAAAACTTTAAAAACATACTAATAAATAAAATACAAATTTAGCTGTTAAGGGTGCTTTCGATTCTAAAAAACAATAATTTTAAAGTAATAACAAACAAAAATAAAAGTAGGAGCTAACATGTAGTGACTACCCATAACGTGTGAGGCACCGTGCGACATGCTTCACGCAAGGGGCCTCAGGACACTGGATGCAGGCACCACCGTGGAGAGACCAGGGCACAGACACGCCGCCACCCCAGTCGCCATCCTCGGAACCGTTACTGCTTTCCGCGCTGCAGAATCAGAGCTGCCCATCATGGGAGCCCCAGCTGAGTGCTTCGAACTGAAGCTCTCTGTCCCCAGCCTCAGGTTTCTCCTCCGCCCCATCCGCAGTGCTCACCGGCCGAGCATTGGTTGGTTGGTTGGTTGGCTCAGCTCGGTACTTAGCTTCCCGTTCCTATCACCGTCTTTCCAGAGAGAGCGTCCGGGGGCGCCCCAGAGTAGGGCTCGCGCTTTCCTCTTCATCACTCGTCTTTCTGCCTCGCACCACTGCCCCGTGCCAGCACTTCTGAGAGCTCACGGAAAACGCTTACCGTGAGCAAACGATGGATCTCAGAATCTGTTTGCACCAAAATAAACTCAGTTCAGTTGCATTTTGCCACGAACTTTCTAAACTCCCCTCACTTTTCAAAAGTTTTAAATCATGGGGTCCAGCAGATGGCATAGTGGTTAAGGTGCTGGACTCATGGCCGACTGCGGTTCGAGTCTCAGACCTGGTGGCTTAAAACTCACACTGGGTCCATTTGCATGCATGCCCAAAATCCTGAGAGGAGAATGGAGGAGAAGAAATCGTGACATAACCACTGCTCCTGGGAGTTATTTCTCATTTTCTCTTTCTCTGTCTCCAATGAGTGCACTTGCCCTATGGCAAACAACTAAAGTAAATACGTTTTTTTTTTTTAATTTTTTTATTTGAGAGGCTTTTTGCTATAGGGCACGTGCGCTCGCCAAACAGACAGACAGAGACGTAGAGACAGAAAGCAAGAAATCACCCCCCAGGGGGGATGGTCACGCTGCAATCCCTTCTCCTCCATTCTCCTCTCGGGATCTTGGGCACACACGCATACGCGCCCGGCGTGAGTTTCAAGCCACCGGGTCCGGGATGCGAACCGCGGTCGACTACATGGGAGTCCAGCGACATAGCCATTACGCTAACTGCTGGTTCCCTAAAGTAAATACGTTTTAAATTGCATGTGAAGGGACTGTGTGCCTCACACATATGGGTACACGGTGACTGTCATAACCTTACTGCTGCCCACGTGGTCTGACCCACCGAGCACGCACTGTTGGTTATTTAGGTGATGGACCGAGACTGAATTACCCTTACTGCAGTTTTAGAGTGTTATTAAAGTCAGATGGCAGGGACCAGCAGTTAGTATAATGGCTATGTCGCTGAACTCCCATGTAACTGACCACGGTTCGAGTCCCGGACCCGGTGGCTTAAACTCACACCGGGCGCATGTGTGTGTGTGCCCAAGATCCCGAGAGAATGGAGAAGAAGGGATTGCGGCGTAGCCATCCCCCGGGGTGGGGGGGGATTTCTCGCTTTCTATCTCTCTGTCTTTCTGGTGAGTGCACGTGCCCTATAGCAAAAACCTCTCCAAAAAATAAAAATGCAATCAGATGGTAGCCCATGGCCAAGGCTGTAAACCTGAAGTTCTCTTAGGGGATCACTTTAGAGCGACTGATCCCTTTGCCATCGAGGGCTTTACTCCCAAGGGTACAGCCATGCATTTCTTCAGCCTGTCCTGACTGAAAAAGCCTTCATGGGCCAGGTGGCGGGCAGTGGTACCACAGCTGGACCCACCTGGGGCTGGCCCTGGGCCCTTCAGAGTGGCCGGAGCTTACCTGGCGGGCACCGTGGGGGCCATGATCAGGCCAGCTGAGGACCAGCCACAGGCATGGTCACCGTTAGGGTAACTCTCTCCCACATAGAAATAATGAACTTTTTTAAAAAGTAGGAATGGGGATATGAATATTATGAACCATTCTTTTTTTTTCAGTAATACTATTTTGTAAATCTTTTTTATTTTTTTGAGAGAGAGCGCTTTTTGCTATAGGGATGTGTGCTCACCAGAGAAACAGAAAGCGAGAAATCGCTCCCCGGGGGGATGACAATGCCACAGCTCCTGCTCCATCCTCTTGAGATTTGGGGCATGCGCGCACACATACGGGTGTGAGTTTCAAGCCACTGGGTCTGGGAGAAGCACGGTTGGTCGTGTGGGAGTCCAGCAGCCAGCGATGTAACTGCTACACCCTCTGCTGGCCCGTAGTTTGTAAATCTTTTAATTTTTTTTTTAGAAATTAATGTTTTCTTTCCTTTTTTGTTTGTATTTTTCCATCTATTTGTTTGTTGTGATTTTCAAGTGGCCAGGTCTAGGACTTGACCCGTGACTGGTCAGCCATGTGCAGATCCAGCACCTCAACCACCACACCACCTGCTGGCCCAAACTTAGTGTGTTTTATAAACCTATAAACACGGGTTTATAATGTGTTATTAGAATCCTGTAATTACTACTGTAATACTAAAATCAAAGCCTGTCCTACTTATAAATTGTGCCTCTGTCCTTAGAGGTGCTGAAAGACTTTCTTATTAAATGCTGAGCTTTTGCTGCTCTTCCCCGTAGACAATTCAAAGACGATTCGGAGAGATAACCAATGAGGCAGTTGGCTTTCTCGGGGAGAGTCTGCAGCGCATCGGCGCCAAATTTAAAAGCTCGCTGGAGGTGATGATGACGTGTTCGGAATGCCCGACGGTCTTCGTGGATGCCGAGACAGTAAGTCTTTCCAGTGGCCGTATTACAAAGACAAGCTAAAGGGTCTCATACAGTGAGTGCTTTTTATACAAAGTAATTCGGGATTTTAAAGCGTAAAAGCTCGTGTTTTCAACTTGATTATCAATACCTGGCAAAATGCAATTCTAGAATATTAAGACTCAATGACATACGACCTCTGACCCCTCCCTGCCCTTACCTGACCCTCTGCAGAGTCCTAGCCGAGGCCACTACAGAGCCAGGCTCCGAGATGCCTGCTCCCCCCCAGTTCTTGCCTAAAAGTGGGGACAAGAGGGCTAGGGCTCCCCAGTGAAATACCCAGAGTGCCTTGGCTGCCCCCGGCTTATTTCCAAGCACTTAGAAAAGATATATTAAGATATTTAGAGATTTAAGGTTTGAAAAGCTTCAAGGATGACCCCTATCGTCGCCCACACGTCTGGGGTGCCAGTACTTGCCTGCACCAGTTTTGGAACACATGTGAAGGTGTGCTTGTCCTTCCCAACACCCCGCAAAGCCCACCGTGTCTCCTACTCTGTTTGAGTGCAAGGACAGAAAATAAAAACTCTGGGACCCAGAAGTTACCGGTCTCATGGCTGTGACCGGAAAGTCCCACGACCCAGAGAACTCTCACGGCTGTGATCAGCAAGCTAACCCGGCCCGCGTGTTTCTGCCCTGACAGCTGATGTCCTGTGGTTTGCTAGAAACACTCAAGTTCAGCGTGCTGGAGCTGCAGGAGCACCTGGACACATACAATGCCAAAAGGGAAGCAGCCGAGCAGGTCAGTCCCCTCCCCGGGAAGACGGCGTCGCTTCTGCACGGGGTGTGCTGACCTGCAGCGGAGAAGCCCTGTGGGACAGCCAGCCTGGGAACGCTCCTCAGGGTTTCACTGAGGTCGGGGGCCCTGTGGCCTCTCCAGCAAACTGCTCTGTCTGGTTTTTAGAATCGGCCCTCACAGGGCCAGTCAGGTGACTGGATCCCACATGGCCGACTGCATGGTTTGAGTCCCAGACCCTGCAGCTTGGCAAACACTGCCGTGTGTGCGTGTGTGCCCAGAACCTCACAAGGAGAAGGGATTGCGGTGCGGCCATCCTACCTGGGGGGTGATTTCTTACTTTCCCATCCTCTCTGGCAAGCACAAGCCTCCTATAGCCACACCAAAAACAAAAACCAGTCAGCCCCTGCAAAGCCCAAGTGCACACTGGAAAACCATGGCTTTGTGCGAAAGCTCAGGGTGGAGCCACCGTCAACACCACGGGGCTGGGGTGGGGGGTGCAGAAGGGGCGCTCACTGAGACCACGCTGCACAGCCAAGGGAACCCGCAACTGCTGACAGAGTGGTGACCTCCCCTGTGATGTGCACGGCGCACGGGGAGCAGAGGAGAGAGTAAGCGTGGAGTAGGTTAAGGTGCTAAGAAATGTGCATCCAGATCCAAGCTGGCATTGAAAACAGACTAGGGACCAGCAGTTAGCGTAATGGCTGTGTCGCTGGACTCCCATGTAGTCGACAGTGGTTCGAGTCTCAACCCAGCGGCTTGGACTCATGCCGGGTGCATGTGCGTGCGTGCCCAAGATCCCGAGAGGAGAATGGAGGAGAAGGGATTGTGGCGTGGCCATCCCCCCGGGGGGTGATTTCTCGCAGTCTCTCTGTCTCTCCGTCTCGGTCTTTCTGGCGAGCGCACACGTGCTATAGCAAAAACCTCTCAAAAAATAAAAAAGAAAAAAAGAAAGAAAAGAAAAGAAAACAGACTAGCTTTCTTCCCTGAAATTAAATCAAATATATTGTCAGTTAGCAGGTGCAGAAAAACAAAGGAAAAAGTGCTCCTCCCTTTCCCACAAACTGCAGATAGTAGATATTTTTTTCTAGACTATTAAGGGTCTTTCAATAATAAACATTAAATACCGGGGCCAGCAGGTGGTGTGGTAGCTAAGGCACTGGACTCCCACATGGCCAACTGCGGTTTGAGTCCCAGGCCCAGCAGCCCGGAAGTCATGCCAGGTTTGTGTGCGCACATGCCCAAAACCCCAGGAGAATAGCAGAGAAGAGGTTTGGGTTATGGCCATCTCCTTAGGGTGTGCTCTCTCACTTTCCCTCTCTCTTTCTCTCTGGTGAATGCATGCACCCTATGGCAAAAATCTCAACACACACACATCTCTCTCATGTAAGAGACATCCCAGCCATCCAGGTCTGAGTTCCCGGGATGGCCTTGGGACCTGTCTGACCACTCGATTTCAGAAGCAGTGCTCTGCCATGCCCCCGACCAGCCCTTCAGAGGCTCTCTGTCCGCCACAGTGCTAACGAGAATTGTGTGAAACTGGGCGCTTCCTAAGAATAGAGGTTTACTGAGCTCCCAGTTTGGGACCCATGTCCAGTGGCCACCTCCCTGTGAGGGTACAGCCTGGCAGAGGGCAGGTCTTGAGCAGAGCAGCTGGCCGCAAGTCCCTGCCTGTTCTGGTCTTCTCCCCCTGCTAAACGCACCAGAACGTAGCCGTAGGGCTACGCCCTGATGCCCTCACCAAACCCAAGGGCCCCACCCTGGGACACCATAAGTTCAGTCTTTACCTGTCACCTTTTTAATACGGCCAAGTCCCAGCACATGGGTTTGGGGAGGACCTCCCAATCCTAGCAGAGGCCTTTGGCAACTTTTGCTTTTGCCATCCTATCAGGCAGCGTTAAAGCAGATCGTTCTGGAAAATAAGCTGGCCTCTAGCCCACTGGAGGAAGAGAAGCCACATGGAAGAGAACAGAAATGTCCCTGTTGACAGCTGTGAGCCAGGCATAACTGAGGCTAGCTGAGAACTTGCAGAGCCCAGGCGAGCATTCCGATGACCACAGACTCAGGGGTGACCTAGGCAAAAGCAGAAGGAACTCCTAGCCAACACATGGGTTTACCTCCCGTTAGATGTATTTATCGCACGTACTTCCTCCTGTTGTTTTAAGCTACTACTGTTCGGGGTGATTGGTTTTACAGCAGTAGATACCGTTTATAACAGGAAAACCTCAGATACCTAAAAGCAGGCTCCGCCTCGGCGGTGCAATCGGGGTGTTTACACTGCAGACCTGGAAGCCACGTGTTGGCCCTGGCTCCAGTCCCTCGCCCAGTTGACCTGGCACACCCGGTGCAGGCGTGTATGGCTAGGCTCCTGCAGCCTGGAGGATTAGAGAAAAGGGATCGTGGTGTGACCAGGCCCCCTGGAAGGTGACGCTGCCCCTCTCACCACCTCTCGCCTGCACGAACACACATGCCCTTTGATCATACCGTCGAGGGCTCTCTGCTCGCTCGCAGATCTGAACAGTGTTAATGAGACTAACCCTGAAATGTTTACTAGCGTCCTTAAACAGTCTTCCGAACCTTGTCCACGAAACAACACGAGGGTCTGAGGGCTAAGCCCTGTGGCCAAGAAGGCCTGCCAACCGTCTCAGTGTCACACTGGCCTGAGACTGACAAACAGAATGGCAGGGCCTCCCTGGGGACCCGGCAGCAGCCCCACCGCTGCACGCGCTCCTGCCATAGCCGACGACTGAGGGGCAGTGAGTGGTGACCCTTTTCTTCTCGGTGGGCTGCACTAAGCCTGCTGCATATTCAGAGGGGGAGAAACGTGGGCCCGATGCCTTCCTGAGATGCTGGTGCCCTGCTTATCTCATCTGGTCTTAGACTCCTAGGGCTCACAGAGGAAAGCCTGGCGCTTACCAGAACGCCACCGCCTTGGCAGGAGGTAACAGTTTTTATCTCCCAGCGCCAGGAGACTAGTAATCTCTGGTCACCTCGAAGTCTCCCAGATGCTGCGGCTTGGTTTCTTGGCTTCTCCTCCCGCATGGGATGAGCCCCACACCAGGGGACGTGTGCAGTGTCCGGCTCGCTCCTCTGCAGTCCCCTCTTCTCCACGGTCTTGGCCCCCAGTGCCACACGGCCTTGGATAACCTGTGTCCCCGGCCCGGCAGAACCGTAGGCACAGCCGCGAGGCTCCCACTGTCCATTCGGCTCTGCTCAGGTTCCCAAACCCGGGTGAGCGCAGGGCTCCCTTCTGTCCTTCCCCTCAGCCACATCCTGATGGCACTCAGGTGCCGTCATCCCTGAAGGGCTGACCTTGTGCCAGCGGTGCTGCCAGGCCCAGAGGTGCACCCAAAAGTTGAATTTTGCTTCCCTGTGGGCCTTCGTTTGGTAAAGGAGACATGAGGTCAGTAGTTGGAGTGGGCGTGAACTAGCCAGCACGCCGCATTCAGACGCCACGTGCCTCTGTGCGGGCTGAAAGGGGTCTGTGCAGCCGTGGGGCTCGTGGTTGGGACTCCTCCTGCAACGCACTAAGAATCAGAACTATTTATGCTGCTAGAGCCCCCAGACGTGCTGGGTCACCAGGTACACGGTGTAAAAGAGTCTATCTAGGGAACCAGCAGTTAGCGTAATGGCTATGTCGCTGGACTCCCACGTAGTCGACCGCGGTTCGCGTCTCGGACCCGGTGGCTTAAATCTCACGCCGGGCGTGTGTGCGTGCGTGCCCAAGATCCCGAGAGGAGAATGGAGGAGAAGGGATTGC